GGTTTTCTACTCCCGTAAACAGTTCTGTAAATAGGTACAGTCTTGCAAATCCACAGGGACAGTTCTACTCCACTCTATAGGGTCGCTATGAGTTGGCATCAACTCTATGACAAGGACAACAATGACAGCATAATATAAATACTTCCATGTGATATTAGTATTATCCTATAATTCTGCATTCTGTTGGGTCACCTTTCTATGGAATGTGTACACACATGTATCTCTTTCACTCGATTGGCCTGGTAGCTGTCTTCCATGTTTCTAAGCATAGCTGAATGAATGTGTCTAGTGCTTCATCAGCTTATTGAAACATTTCAAGTGGCATGCCATCAATCCTTGGAGCTTTACTAATATCAAAATCCATACATAATCAATACCACAATCTCTTCCTAAAGAGTCTTTCTACGATGGTCAAGCAGATGCAAGGTGTGATAGTTTTTATCTGAAGAATCTTGAAGCACAGCAATTACCTATAAATTTGTACAATGGAACTACAGAAACAAATGTTTGAGAAAGCAGTTTTATGGCATAATATATCAAAAACCTGCCAACCATTGTCCTGTGACCACCCTATAATAAACTGATGAGCACATATGCTTATATTTTCATGCTCTAAATGAATCAAGTAACATAAAGTCGTTCACAAAAACCCATATATAGGATTCCGGTCACTAGAATAGGAAAATCTATAAAGACAAAAATAGATAATTGATTGCTTAGGATTTGCATTAGGGCTGGGATTATAAAGGTTAGAGTCAAAAACACTGACTGTTTTTGAAATGATGAAAATATACCAAGGTTGGTTTTGAAGTAGGTTATTTAGATTTGTAACTTTTCTAGCAACATTATATATAACGGTTTATGCTGAAAGAGACCAAGACAGATTAAAATGAAAAGAATTCTCCTGACACTCACTCCTCCCTAGACAAAACCAAGCTGATATAACTGGCCATTTCTTTTTTTTTAATTAAATCATTTTACTGGGGGCTCTAACAACTCTTACCACAATCCATACATCAATTGAATCAGGCATGTTTGTACATATGTTGTCTTCATTCTTTTCTATACATTTACTTTATATTTAGCCCTTGGTATTAGCTCTTTCCCCCCTCCCCCCTAGCTCCTGATAGATTGTACATTGTTATTATTTTCATCTCTACACAGACCACTGTCTCCATTCCCCCATGTTTTCTGTTGTTCTTCCCCCTGTAGAGGGGTGTATGATTATGTGTCGATCATTGCGACCGGTTCCCCTTTTCTCCCTTTTCCCTCCCTCTTCCCCCTACATTTCTGGTATCACTATTCCCACTCCTGTTCCTGGATTCTGTGTGTCATGAACTCCCATCACTTTCTATACCTGTTTACATGTTTTGGTCTAGTTTGCATTGAGAAGCAGCACTGGGGTCATGGTGGTGGGTTGTAAGGAAGTCTCAAGGAACCAGAGAATATAATGTGTTTCATTGATGCTTTATAGCACCCTGGTGACTCATCCCTTCCCTGTGGCCCATCTGTGAGGAGATTGTTCCACTGTCTAGAGATGGGCTTTGGATCTCCACTCCAGCCCCCCTTGTTCTTAACAATATGTTTTTGTTTGTTATGTGTCTGCTGATGCCTATTACTGGGTCCCTATGACTCTTCATGATCCAACCAGTTGTGTGCTTTTTCCATGTGGACTTGTTACTTCACTGCTGAATGGAGGCTTGTTTAACTTCAAGCCTTTAAGACCCCAGATACTATATCTTTTAATAGCTTGGCACCATCGGCCTTCTTCACCATATTTGCTTATGCACCCATTTTGTCTTCAGTGATTGTGCCAGGAGGGTGAACATCTCAGACTGCTGATTGGTTAGAACAAAGTGTTCTTGTATGAGTGTAAAGCCAAGAGTCCAGGGTGGGTCAAGCACTCCAGAGAACTACATCTATTAAGTTGACTGGACCCAATCCTGGAATTGATATATATCAAAATAAGTTTCAAGATTTCTATGCACCAGTAACTGCTGTATGCTTTCTTTCTCCCTCACCACTTAAAAAACGGTGTCTATTGCAGTTATTTTATGTTTGTTTCAACGATATATTGTTAAATATATAAGATGTAGATAACATGCCTTTGGGTTCACAAGTCTTCAGCTACAGTTCACATGTTTTTAGATTTATCTCTTGAAACTGAGGCTAGTTGTTGATGAGTCTCACTTGCATCGAGAGTTGATTTAAATAAAATATTGGATTTGGGCCAGTTCTTTTTTTTAAAAAAAATAATTTTATTAGGGGCTCATACAACTCTTATCACAATCCATACATACATCCGTTGTGTAAAGCACATTTGTACATTCATTGCCCTCATCATTCTCAAAACATTTGCTCTCTACCTAAGACCCTGGCATCAGCTCCTCATTTTCCCCCCTTACTCTGGGCTCCCCTGTCCCTCATGAACCCTTGGTAATTTATAAATTATTATTTTGTCATATCTTGCCCTGTCTGGCCTCGCCCTTCACCCACTTTTCTGCTGTCTACCCCCCAGGGAGGAGGTCACATGTAGATCTTTGTAATCGGTTCCCCCTTTCCAACCCACCCTCCCTCCACCTCCTGGTAACGCCACTCTCGGCACTGGTCCTGAAGGGATCATCTCTCCTAGATTCCCTGTGTTTCCAGTTCCTATCTGTACCAGTGTACATCCTCTGGTCTAGCCAGATTTGTAAGGTAGAATTGGGATCATGGTAGTGGGGGGAGGAAGCATTTAGGAACTAGAGGAAAGTTGTATGTTTCATTGTTGCTACATCTCACCCTGACTGGCTTGTTTCCTCCATGTGACCCTTCTGTAGGGGGATATCCAGGGGCCTACAAATGGGCTTTGGGTCTCCACTCTGCACTTCTCCCCCTCATTCACTATGATATGATTTTTTTGGTTCTGATGATGCCTGATACCTCATCCCTTCCACACCTTGTGATCGCACATGCTGTTGCGCTTCTTCCATGTGGACTTTGTTGCTTCTGAGCTAGATGGTTGCGTAGTTTTTATTGGAGGTGTTGGAACTGTTCTGTTGTTTACCATCAACTTGATTCCAACTCATAGTGGCCCTGTAGGACAGAATGTCATCCCCATATACAGTTTCCTAGGCTGTAATCTTTAAGGAGCAAATTATCAAGTCTTTTCTACCATAGAGAAGTAGATGGTTTCCAACCATTGATGTCCAGTAATCAGCCAAGTGCTTTAACCATTGCACCACCACTTTGCCTTATTAGAAAAGTAGTAGAGGATATTTTTCATATGGGACAAGAAAGACAAGAATTGTGGTCATCCAGGTAGATGAACTATAAAAATGACTGCAATCAATTTCTTCCATCTCTGTGCATAGGCTGCTTCTCACACCAAGGGCTAAAGTTAATGCTGCTGGTCTTGAACCTTCACCGGGCTTGGTCATTTGCTTTATCAAGAGAATGAAGTGGCCATGGGCATCCCAGCAATTCTGAGACTAGGTCATCAGAAGATTTGCAGTTTCCGTTTTGGAAACCTCCCTCTTAAAGTCCACCTGTCATGTTTTGAAAATCCAAGCTACAAAGAGAAGTCATGCACAGATGGAGCTACCTATTCAGCTATCAACTACCAATCACAGAAGTGACCCATTTCAGACATCAGTTTAATCCGGTTGAATCTACAGATAATGGTAACCAAGAGTTACATCTCCCTATAATTCTGCAGTAGACCTCATGCAAGGACGTTCCCCCTGAACCCAATCAGGCATCACACACTAAGGCAATAATAATACGCTGTTCTGAGTCACCAAGTGTTAAAAGTGCTTTGGTCTGCAGAAATCAAAAGAAAAGAGACACATACATAAGTAATACGAAGTCTTTCCCACCTGGACAAACTGTAGGATTTTCAAATTACTCATGAGGTTATTTAAATAATAAAATTTATAATATTATTTAAGTACCTAGAGTGAATTTTTTTCTGTTTGTCTTCAGGTGAAAAATGTGTTAGAGATTAATTAAATTCAATTCTACAAAAGGAATTGAGGATTGAATATGGGTCATGATTCCAGATGGTGTTGACAACACACGTGCTTATTGATTACTTAAGGGTCATTGTCTCAGATGATAATATTCCAAGAGATTTTAAAAATAGTTGAAGAGATAATAATGAATAGTAGATGACTACCAATAAAGTAAAAACAAACAAGACTTATAACACTAAATTCTGATCTAATTTCACTTTGAGTGAGAAATGATAGCTATGTGCTCATACATACATAAAAAAAATCCAGGTGTATAATTGATGTTTTGTCCTGTATCCAACTATTAATTATGATTAAGTAAACTCCTGATAAAACCCTCTTGAAACAGTTCACTTCTATCCATTCCATCCATAGTTTTATATCAGACCATCATACCACAGATGCATAATTTTCCAATCATTTTTTAAAAACATCAAAATAGAACACAAAAGGTCTCCACTGAAGTACCATTTCAAATCAACCTTTCATCTGGTGATGCAGTGGGTTAAGCAATGAGTGTTTGGCTGTTCAATTTCAACAGGTGCTCCATGGGAGAAAAATAAGACTTTCTATTCCCCAAAAGATTTGCAATCTCAGAAATCATAAAGATTAGTTCTACTCTGTCCTATAGCATTGCCATGAGTTGGATGTGACTCCACACAGCAGTTGGATCACTTTGATAAACCCAGAGTTGTATATAAAGTTTAAAAAAAAAGCCTTTCATTAAGTACATGCCTCTGCTCTCTTGAGGGTAGAGACATTCTTTTCAACTAAATAATGAAGGGAACAAACAGACTAAACTTCTGATGACATGAGACAAGAACAAAGATGTATGTTTTTTTAAATAATCAAAATTTAGGCATTAGGGTGGACATTTGCAAATTGTTGAGATTTAAGGCAGGATATACCAATTCAGTTAGAGAGGTAAAATTAATCTTAAGAATCTTACCCAAAAAAAAGCATCTTACAAAAATCAATAAGTTGACTGACTGTAAAATATCTTTGACTATGAGAGGACTCTTTCTAATAAAGGGATCAATGTGCTCTTTCATATCTTAAGTTTGAAAAATAAAACAAAACCTCACTGCCATCAAATTGGTTTCAACTCAGAGTCATCCTGTAGCACAGGATGAACCACAGGGGAGTAGATCTGCTCCTGGGAGTTTCTGAAGCAAACGCTCTACAGAA